CAAGAATTGTGGAGTGTCAATGTACACTATATTTCCGTGCAGCATGTGTCCACTCTGCACACATTGAAAAAACTATTGTGAACTGTATTGTGAGCGAGACACTATTGAAAAATATATGGGAAGGCTATAACGTAGATGATGTGTTGTATGTTCTCGGTAATCTGCAAAAAAGAGACATAGGTGCACGAATATCCCCAGTGCAATTCCTACGCGATCGTGAATTAGGTATACGTGGTGAGAAACATGGAACAGTTATCAGAGAGCCCGTTTCTGAGGGGTCTTTACTCGCGCGACAGAAAGTGTATTACTAGACAAATGTTACGAGGACGATGAATATGAAAAGAGGCATTGGTGGAGTAGAAATGTCAATGTAATAAAGGACGATTATTATTGGGCGAAGAAAATCGCAGATAAGAGCCAAGGTTGGTGCATCTGCATTAAGATTCCTGCAGGTAGGGAAAAGTGCGTCGAACTGCTGATTATCGACAAAATATGGATGGAGTTTCGTGATCGCGATCATGCACTAAAACTATTTTTCGACAGATGCAACGATCGAGCTTTGAGTGTAAACAGTGCATTTTCGCAAACAAACATAATGAAAAAGTGTTAGAACATTATGATTTTCTGAATATGTCGCGATGCTGCAACGTGTGTGAACGAGTCACGTGCAAGTGCTCCGTGGAAGAGTGTGACGTGATCTAAAGAAAAAAAAATGGAAAATCACGAGTGAGTGGAACGCGAACTGCTGGAGCAGTGCAGCCAGGTCGCTACTCTGGTGGAATGTTTCGCGTGGCTGCAACGATGCGACGAGTGCATCGAGCGGCTCGAAGAGCTTTGTCGTGCCAAGCGTCCGCGTCTCACCGTTGGACACAGACAATCCATGGTGGCGAGGATCGCGCGACTCGCGGGTGTAAAGACACGATTAGAGCGACGTTTCGTGCACGTTGGTGGTGGGTACGCGAGTCGCGACGGAAGATCTCTCGTCTGGCGAGAGATCGACGCCTCGTTCGAAAACCGTATATCGACGAGTGCAGTGGTCAACGTCGATTACATCGAGCCGCGGCGGTTTTGGAAGACGCGAGAGAAATAGTGCTCGAACGTGTGCGAGACGCCGTAGAAAGACACGGTAATGCAAAAGTGAACACTGCGTTCAACGGCGAGTTTATGACAAACATCAAACGTGACATTAAAAGTATAAACACTAAGAACCGCGAGATATACCGATACACCGATTTGCGCGAGTGGTACGAGCAGCATATCATCGAACCTACATTGACATCACTCGAAGAGTTCCAAGAACGCGACAGCGGGTGGGCATTGTCGCGAATCCTCAATTTGATAGTGAATGTGAACAAACTAAATCCCATGCGCGCGGGATGTTACTTCGAAGTGCCGCGGGAAATAGCGACGAAACGAGCGGTGATCAACGTTAGTACGATGGACAATGCGTGCTTCGCGTGGTCGGTGGTCGCCGCTCTGTACCCGGCTGAAAGAAATGTAACTCGAGAGTCATCGTATCCGCATTATACGACGGTGCTGAATCTCGCGGGTATCGAATTTCCGATAACGTTCAAAGACATTTCTAAATTCGAAAATCTCAACAACATATCAATCAACGTGTATAGCATCGAGAATAAACAAGTTCTTCCTCTGCGGCTCACTAGTGACAAGAAGGACAAGCATGTCAATCTCCTGTACATGCAAGATTCATGCAACGACAACATTACACACTTTGCGTGGATCAAGAAACTGTCGCGTCTCGTGAGCTCGCAACTAAGCAAAAAAAAGAACAAGAAATATTTCTGCGATCGATAAGTACACAAGAAAAATTATTATAATTTCTCATCTTATTAATAAAATATAGATAACTACTATAACTTTTTTGTTTTTTTAGATGCTTGCATTACTTCAGCACGAATGAGAAATTGCAATCACACACAATGGACTGCCAGAAGATAAACGATTGCGCTATTCGACTGCCGAGCGAGGATGAAAAGTGGCTTGAATTTGGGAACTTCTGCAACAAGGAGCGCGTTCCATTCGTCGTCTACGCCGACCTGGAGTGCATTTTACGGAAGACGGAACCCGACAGGGAAGATGCGTCG